TAATATAATTTATATTATCACATTATCAAAAAAAGCTGTTATATAATCGATAGAATTATTTTATAAGAAAAAAAATAACTATTGAACAATTCCACTTTTTTTAATTGTTGATGTCTTACCAGAACTAAAAAAGCTGTCTTTCATCAGTTTGGCAACGGACGGACGTTTTGAGGGACTCAGTTGCAACATGTTCGCCACCATGTTCATGGCAGGTTTACTAATGTGTTGCGGTGTCTTGTACTGCACTTGTTTGATCCTAGAATACGTTTCCCTCAGGCTTGACGTCTCGAAAGGCGGCTTACCCACAAGTAGAGTGTACATTATGACACCAATACTCCATACATCAGCCTCATACGAGTGTCCGATCTTCGTGAGCACTTCCGGTGCGATGTAATTCGGAGTACCACAGACAGTTCTATTAAAAAATTCATCAATCAGTCAAATCATATACTAAAATTTTATGTGTAATTGATAAAATTAATTTATCCCTGATAGAGTTTAAAAATTTTATCAAAGTATGTTGGAGTATAATTTATGTGGATATAATTTTGAAGTAAAATTAAGTTTAAACAAATAAAAAATATCACATTTAAATAGAATTTAAGAATGAATATAAAATATAATTTAATCTTTAGATTTAGAATGATTTATCACAATGAACAGAGAAGATGATCACATTCGTCATGACTGCGGTGTATTTGAGTAACAATTACTTTTTTCTTTCACCGTCATGCTCCAATCTGGTTGCCAATCCGAAATCACCGATCTTGACTTGCAAATCGTCGTTCAAAAACAGATTGCCTAACTTTAAATCTCTGTGAATTATTCTATGCTGATGCAGGTAAAAAACTCCATCCAAGATCTGCTTCATGAAGTATCGTGTCTCGCATTCCGACAGTGCTTTCCTGCGCTTATGCAGCTCCATCATCGACTAGAATGTTAAACAATTGTAAACTCACAATTGGCAATTGAAGTAGCTACTACTGCTACTTACCCTTTTACGACAGAGTTCCAGGATAATGTAAATATTATTAGTATCGTCGAAGAAACCGTGAAAGCCAACGATGTGTTTGTGATTCAAGGTCTGGTGAATCGCAATCTCCTGGGTCATCTTCTCCCTCTGATTGCTTTTTGCCATCAGTGACTTTGGCACAATTTTCCCAGCGAATACATGGTGCGACTTTGACTCTGTGATCTCGTAACATTTTGCAAAGCCACCCTATAAAGCAACGGACATAAGAGTAAAGTAAAGACAACTGCAATAAAAAAGGGAAGGAAAAAGCTGACGCTTTAATTATAAAGTTAATTTCCTGCAAGTAAATTATGTTTTAATACCTACTGGCTTTAATAATGGTTCTTTAGTAATTAATATATTTAACGTTTAAAGAATCTGTAATTTGAAAGGATTTACAAGTTCCAAGATGGGTAACTCTACAGGTATCTCTCTTCTTTTTGGTAAAAATTTGGGGTGCCTTCAATTCGGAGGGTTTTTAAGGTTTTGTGTAAGACTTAATCCTATCGCCCTGTCTCCAACTGGTACCTGACCATAAGGTACCAGTTATTTGACACAAAACCTCTATACCCTGTTATCCTTTTTCGTGAACTGTTCTCTTCCCCTTAAACAAAGAATCTTCCTCTTATACTCTCCTCTCCATAAATGGGAAATCCTCCTCTCAATTGATGACTATGTGGGATGAAGGCCATGATTGAACCACGGACCTTTCAGTTACTAATCATGAATGTCTTCAGTTCACTAATAGGTGGGTTATATTAGAATCCTAAATAAGAGAAGC